TGGTAAGGAGTTAAAAACTGCATGAGGGATTTCTTTATGTGTGCCGTACTGAGTTATTCGCTAAAAAGAACTGACAAATAACACACCTATGGGGATTCTGTTGTTATATACATGACGCAAACAAGCTTCTCGCAGCACATCATCCTGGATTTCATGCAGGAAAGTTGCATGGCCCAGTCGTGTGGGCCCGAATTGTAAGCAGTCGTGAACATCATCCAAATTTTCTTTTATCTGAAAGGAAGTCTGGGGATTCTTGCGAACATATCTGTCGTGACAGAACAATTATACGCTCCAGCAACGGAATTTTTCTCACATTTTCATGTGTAGGATCTCACACCTTTCAAAATTAATAGTGAAAACGTGATTCCGTCTGCAGCACATTTATAGATTTCAATGCAAATGCATCTCTCTCACCTCCGCCAAATGAAAAGAAATAACTGGCAAGCGTCCTCGAGCTTTCTCCAGCAGCGGTAAAAATTTACGTGCGTCATATCTCGGATCGCCGCTAATCTCTACGCCAATAATGACTGCATCAGACTCCGCTTTTCCATCTTTCGGCCCTGCAAAAACACTGCTCCCATTTGGCGTCACTGCACACTGGAAAACGTTGAGGTGCCCAAATTACCACCATACTAACAGTGAACCACGTAGTCGTTGGAACTGTAGCTTACGATATTTCATAGCCAAATTTACAGTTTCTTCGGCCTGCTCAACTGCTTGTCGTCGATCAATGCCCAGTAAAATACGCACGCAGATGTGCGGATAGAGTTGCTTGGCGTGAATCACTCCAGAAATAAGCGCCCTGACATATTCCCCCTTTGACATACAGTCAGTTTGCCGTGGTGTCGATCGCAGTTCCAGATAAACTACATTATCCTCACTGAATTCTCGAATTACGTCCACAGTAACCTAAAGTTTGGTGAGTTGTGCTGCGTGAATTTTTCTTTTCAAGTCATAAAAATACCAGATATTTCCTTTAATAAATTCGAGCCCATTTGTTCGCGCTGATATCTTCGCGCGATTTCGTATTTTCATTTGCAAAAAGAGTCCGAAGTGACCCAGTCATTGAGCACTATGAAATGAAGTACTTCGTGGACGTCTTCGGGACGAACCACCATTGCTTGTATCAGCGGAAACAGTCGAAATGCCCTGCAAAAAAAGTGCTGCTTACTTTTATATAGTTTTCTCTTATATATCCGAACTGGTGTTGAGAAGCTCAAAAATCTGAGTAACTTCGGGGACTGGAATTTCCAGAAATATCGTGAGCCATAACATCGACTCGGTATGATCTGACATGGCAAATTTTTGTAGAAATTTAATTTTTGCGTTATTTGTTCAAATTCGTTTACTTACTCTTCCAGATTTCGAGGCGATCTGCTCGGCGTAGATAATGCAGATTCGTTGTCCACAATGAATTCTGGTGCTCGTCGCCTGCTTCCCAGTATTTTCAGCATTCTCCTGCTTATGCAACCACTCAAATGCGCGTGGAATTCCTGAAAATCATGTTTGAAAAAGCAAATCAGTGCTGATAAGATGCAACATGTTTAAAGCTTTGGGTAGTAGCAAATTCCATATAATAAAAACACCTATCGT